GGGCTTGTGCCCAGACGGCAACTCAGCCGGCTATTGCCGAGCGGCAGCGGCACCGCCTGGGTGGCTGCGTCCCCTCCGCCTCTCCCCCTGCCGGGATGACCCCTCGGTGCGCACCCGCCGGGTGGCTCTGCCTGCGGCTCCCTGCCTGCCCGGTAGCCAGGATCATGCGCTTGGGTTCCTCCGAGGGGGAAACTTGCAGTACATTACATAAGAAATGCAAATTGCAGGTGCTCTGGGCCGCCCGGTCCCGGGGTGTGTGTGTGTGTGTGTGTGGTGTCACGCTGCTGCTGTTGCATCCCTCTTGCTCGGGGCGGCCAAGGCGAGCAAGGTGGGCGAGAAGGGATGCTCGGCGGGCGAAGGAGCCGGGAGGTTTTCAGGGGAAATACCGGTCCTCCCTCCCCGCCTCCTTCACACCGGGCTCTGGTCGTATCCCCCGCCGCCGTGCTCGCCCCCCCCGGCCGGCAGGTTGCCCGCAAGCGCTAGGGAGGTGAGAGCGGCTGGAGCCCGGGCTGTGAGGGGAGGGATGAGGGATGCCGTGTGTGTGCGCTGGCGTGTGTGTGTGTGTGTATGTGTGTGTGTGTGTGCCGGCTGCCCTGCAGTGGCAGCTCCCGAGCAGGAGGCTCCTGACGCTGGCACTGCAGTGTAGTAGATCATAAGCTCTCCTCGCCTCTCTGACACCCCAACATCAACAAGCAGCAGCCCTGGCAGCCCGCACCCCTCTCCGCCCCGGCACAGCCGGCCTGACGGCTCCTGCCCGGTGCAGAGACTTGAGGTGGGCACCTCGGAGGGATTTTTGTCTCCCCCCCTCCCTTCGCTCCCCTTGGCCGCCTCGTCTCGCCCCCTTTCTCCCCGCCGCTGCAGCAAACAGCAGCCACTTCTCAGCATACCAAAGAGCCCGAAATGCCCCGCCGGAGCCTGCGCTCAGCCTCCCGCAAAGTGCCCTTCGCTTCGCTCGCCCCTTGGTGGAGCAGCAGAGAGCCGGCTCCCCCGGCCGGGGGGCAACTTCTAAAGCCGGGATGGGGCGGGCAGGGCAGGCGGCCACTTTCCTGCAGCCCCTAGGGACGCCCCCTCTCCCGCTGCCGGCCGCGCCCCGAGGGGGGGGACACCGGCTCCAGCACCGTGGTGCTCTGGGCGATGCCCCGTAGGAAGGGCTCGGGGGTGGGTGGTTTCTAGACCTTTCATTTCGGGGACGAGGTGGGGAGATATATAATAACACACACACACACACCCCTCTCCACTAAAGGCCCCCCCTTGCTGAGGGGAGGCTGGTTAAGTGTAGCCTAGACGTGTCCCCCGGGGTGCCAGGGGACGGCAGCACACCTTTCCCCCCCTCCCCAGCGAGTTTGCCGCACTTACCCCCTCTACACGGGACAAGTGGGTTTCGGTGGCAGGAGTGACACTGCGCCCCACCGCTACTGCCACCCTGCCTGGGGAGGGCTGAGTCGGCCTCGGGGCGAGGGGGGGGACACCGGTCTGAACAAACGAGGCAGACTGGGGGGGCAGAAACTCGGGGAGGGGGGGAAAAAGGGGGGCTGGAGGGTCTCTGCCCCCAGCTGCCACGGGTGCCAGGGAGGCACAGGGCGGTGGGAGAGCTGAGGGAAGAAACGGGGGGCCTGCGGTTGCCACCCCCCCCGGACAGATCCGTAGTTTCGCTCTCCGCCCCGCGCAGTTTGCGCCGCTCTGCTCCGCTCCGACGTGGAGCCGGGACGCCGAGCCCAGCCCAGCCCGCATAACCCCGTCCGGACATCCCGTTGCCCGCGGGCTAACTGCCTGGGGGGGCTGGTAACCGGGTTGGCCGGATTAGCTGGTAACTCCCTCACAGTTGCTCAGGGGGGCAGATCAAATCCACCCAGGCTGGGGGTCGTCCGCGGGAGCGCAGGCAGACGCTGCCGTGGTGCCCTGACTCGCCCCGGGCCGTGGGGCTCCCCCTCTGCGGGCAGACCCCCCCCCTTCCCTCCTCCCCGACCCTCCTCCGGTGCCCTTTGCCCGCCGAACTTTTCAGGAGCCACCGGGCTTTTTGGTCTCAAAAGGCACCGCAGGAGCGAGCAGCTGCTGTTGATCCAGCCGTGCGGAAAATGAAGCAGGTTAGGCAGCTAACGCGGGCTGTGATTTCAATTTATTTAGCGATTTTCGGCCTGGTGCCTTTTTTTTTTTTTTTTGGTCCCTTTCAACAGCTGAAACGGGACTGGGTGGCACATTTCCAGATGTTCTCTGCTTTGCGTTTCCTCTGCAGCCCTCCCCTCCGAGCGATGCCCCCCTCCCGGGGCTTCCTTGCCAGCCCCGGGGGTCCTGCCGGGTTTACTGGCACCAAGCAGAGCTCTGGGGGGAGTGAGGTGAGGAAGGATGGGGTGTCCGGGGGGGTGTGTGTAAGTCTCTGGCAGGGCTGCATTAGGAAGCTTTGGTCTTAGTTGATCATAGTTTTGCTCTAACCAAATTTCTTCCAAATTTGAGATCCTGGAAAGAGAAGCTGCCTTTGATTGCTACAATTATTTACACCTTTAAATTTCTTCATAAGGAGAAAAACTTTGACAATCAATAGATGTGGCTTTGCATGCACTGATTGATTTTTTTTTTTAAACTTTTCCTGAGTTTATTAGTACAGGAGGTAATGAAACCCCATGTATCTGCAGCATCCAGTCCAGCATGAAAATATTTGCAATTTGCCAGGTTCCCTGGGCCTCACTTGCTTTTGCGATTATTCCCATCTAACTCTGCCCTTCCAGCTTGTCAGACACACAAGGAGGACTTCACAAAGCATGAGACAAAAGAGACTTTTTCTCACAAAGAGTTAAAAATTGCTCAAGACTCCGTAAGGACCGAGCCAGGGCTTGTAATGATAAGATGCAGTCCTGGTGGCTTCCCCTTCACCTCCCCGAGTCTCTAAAACTAGGTACCTTCAGTTGGGGCATGGCTAAGTCACAGGGAGGATTTGGGGCTTGAGGGGAAGTGGGGAGGAGAGCATCTCTGGCTGTTTTTTGAAGCAAATGCAACAAGTGAATAGGTGACAACTGTTAGGGTGCCCATGGGAGATGAGTTAGTTGGCTGGAGCACTAGATGCCCCCATGGCAGGAATTGCTATCGTGTTTCACTCCTGGTGGCAGCCCAGCAGACCAAGGATGGATCAGGTTTCCTCTCCATTTACCTCCAAGGAGAGGCATCTCTCCAACTCAGTCAGGGCTGTTGACAGCAGAGTAGATGGAAATTGGCATTACTATAAATATGTTGCTGATAGAGGAATTTGGTTTTTGCTAGTATCAATCCCATATCTACCTCAAAAGTTACTTAAAAAGAAGAGCATCTGTGGCTGAACTGGGATCTCTGCAGAGTCTCTTGTTAAACTCCTGCTCCGTAAATAGTTAAGACTCATCTTTCATGGTCACTTATAATGTTGAGTAAGTTTATAAGCACAGCTACGTGAAGGTCTGTTTCAAGTGGAAGCTTGATTCCTGCCCATAAAGTATATAGCGTGTCGTTATTTGAATTCTTAAGTAAAATGCCCACCCCCCCACCCCCCTCCCTGCTGCCTTCCTTACTCATAAAAAACAAACCTCCCACCGAAAGACAAAGGATATTTTGCCTCAGTAAGAGCCGCGGCATCGAGTCCTCGAAGTTTCTTCACGTAGGTCTGAAAAGCAGCTCTGGCTGCCCGAATACCACAAGTCCTGGACTGCCAGTAGAGCCACGGTGTGTTTCTCTTGCTCAGATGTAAAATTGCCTATTCACATGTATCTCACCTACTGAAGTTTCGTCCTCTGTGGAATACGTTTTCTGAATTTATACAAATTTAATTATTCTCGATCAAATTAAATTGCATATTCTACTTGTTAAAGGGTGAAATTTATGCCTGCTCATGCATCTCCCTACTGTGATAAAATGCTTGCACCTAGTTCAATGTCTGCTAATGACAGGCCATTTATAAATGAATTCAAATACACAAAGGATGACTTAGGCTTAGGGAAAATATGAAAAATGTATTTACAGATATCATTGGTTTAAATATTTATATGTATGCAGTTTTTGTTTGAGTTTGATGTTTATTCTATTTACCTGCTTCGATTACGTTAAGTATATTAATTTTGAGCTATAATTCCAATTGACTTCAAATTTAGATAAGGAATGGTTTAGACATTCAGAATTTGTCCCTTTGCAAAGATTTTCTGTCTGGTAAATGCCTATAAAAATACAATCTGGAGAGGAGACAGTTGTTTGAAACCAGAAACCAGTTTTTCAAGAGGACTTCATAAAACTAAAGAAATAGGAAGCAGGGCATTGCATGGACTCTGGGATGGTATTTCGTAGCTGGTGGGGTCACTACTGAGGTTTTTGTTTAGTCACTCAACATGTAGGATGAAACGCTGTGAGGTTGGATAAATGAAGCGGTCGTGTGCACATTAAACTCTGCTGAATATTTACAGACGTTTGCTAAACGTGCCTGTGAGCGCCGAGCCCGACTGGAGCAGGTTTCGTTCAGTCGAGGATGATCTTGTTACTTCGGGAGCAG